CGTGTCCGGCAACGGATCGCAACCCTCAGTGTCGCCCCCGTACTGGACCGGGGACCGGCAACGGGATTGCAACCCTCGGCGTTGCCCCCGCGCCTCGCTCAGCCAGTGAGCGGGAACCGGTCTGTATGTGGGATCCGAACCCTCGGCGGGAGCGCCGCCGCGCTTCCCAAGCGGCGCACTAGCGCAGTGCGCCACCAGGCCGGCCCCCTACTTTACTTTAAAAGAAACATCGACAAATCTGTGGTTAAAGTTCCCAATATTATAACCACCAGGGTCCATGAAGATACAGACCACTGAAAATACTGGTTTATCTGAGAAACAGGAAATGGCCTCATTTCAGGATCAATTTAACTTAGAACTTAAAAAGAATTCAAAAGGCAAAAATACAGTTTTCAAAAACTACTTCAGCTCTGCTCCTTTTAAAGTGTTTTTTTTTTTTTTTTCTTTTAAAGATGACCAGTAAGGGGATCTTAACCCTTGTCTTGGTGTTGTCAGCACCACACTCAGCCAGTGAGCGAACCAGCCATCCCTATATGGGATCCGAACCCGTGGCCCTGGTGTTATCAGCACCACACTCTCCCGAGTGAGCCACAGGCCGGCCCCCTTTTAAAGTTTTTAAGCTCGATTTTTACTTAAGTAAAATGAAACAGAAGTATTTTCCTTTTATTAGCTTGTTGGTCTCTGAGCCATCCTGGCTCCAGTGAGCTGTTTAGAGTAAGCACTCAGGTAACCCTCCCCCTCCAGAACCAACGGATTCTAGTGAATAACAGTTCTTTATTCACCAGCCATCAAGGCTTGGAGAAATTTTTGGCTATCTACAATCTGTCCATCCACTACTTCACCAGTAACAAAGGAAGTCCTCTAGGAGAGGGGAGGGAATCGACAGAAGTGACCATGCCACTCAACAGTCTTTTGAGTATCTGCTAGGGTTTTGCCATTATCCACCTCCTGTTTAAATTTGCTATTTTACAAACTCATCAGCTTCTCTTCACATGCAAATTCAGGTGCTACAAAGTCATATAGTTTTAATACGTATACTTTTTAAATACACTGGTTCTGTCACACCTCCATTAATAAACCAAAGAATGAGAACACTCTTCCATTTCCTTTTAATTATTCTGCAGAACATCAATGCTATGTTCTTCAAACAAATTTATTACGTAGCCATAAACTCCTCAGATATTACATTTATGCTAATGGAAACAAATTAAAACAGAACTTGCTTCCCCAAACAATTTAATAATACTAGCTGGAGAATACAAAGATACTGTAACCAGATTAGGTCTGAGAGTTTAGGCACACTAAAAAATACATTTCAGAATTAATACTTATCATCCTAATATACTTCTCATCTCATGACAATGCTTTGCAAAAATGTCTGTTAATGAGTACTCATCTATATGGTAAATTCACAGTATATTTTATCCCACCTAAATGCTGAACTGACATCATCATTTAAGGAAGCTTACCCCCATCACTTTGTTTTAAAGAAAATCATATAAAATTATTATTTGATGTAGTTTAAATATTAAGTTACAAGGCCACGATTTCAGTTTTCAAAGAAAAAGACCATAATCATTCATCAAATATTGTGTGCCTACTATGTTCCTGGCATTATGCTAGATACTAAATATAGAAAATGGAGACACCAAATCAGAAAAGGTCCCTGCTGGGCCAGCCCGTGGCATGCGGTGCTGATAACACCAAGGCCACGGGTTCGGATCCCATATAGGGATGGCCGGTTGGCTCACTGGGTTAGCGTGGTGCTGACAACACCAAGTCAGAGGTTAAGATCCCCTTACCGGTCATCTTTTAGGAAAAAAAAAAAAAAAGAAAAGGTCCCTGCTGTAACAGAGATTACTTTTTGGCACACAGTTTTCTCCATTTCAAGGATTAGAACAGGTTAGCCAAAGCCACATGGAGAAACCTTCATGAAGGCACAGATGGTAGAGAAATTGCCTCTGTTTAAGTATGAACCAATGGGCTCAACCTTTTAACTTATTCCACATCTTTCCCTTGTACAACCCATTCCCATCAATAATGTCTCTCAGTAAATACTAAGTACTTTCTATGTGATGGGGGAGATAAGGAGGGAGGATAAACACTATTCAAAATTACTGATGTTAAAAAACAAACAAACAAGGGCCGGCCTGTGGCTCACTCGGGAGAGTGCAGTGCTGATAACACCAAGGCCATGGGTTTGGATCCCATATAGGGATGGCCGCTTAGCTCGCTTGGGAGAGCATGGTGCTGACAACACCAAGTCAAGGGTTAAGATCCCCTTTCCGGTCATCTTTAAAACAAACAAACAAACAAACAAACAAAACCCCAAAAACCAAAAAACAAAATAAAGCAATTGCTTCTTCCTAATAACCTCACCCCAAGCACCTAAAATGGTGTGTTACAAGTAGTATGGTTTAGCAACCAGTTTCAAGAGCTCTGCATTCCTTTATAAGGTGTTTGGATATCTACCAGTTACAAGATTATCCTTGCTCACAATGGCAGCAAAATACACATGGATATCCAAAACAACAATTACTACACTTTAAGAAGAATCAAATATTTTCCCCCATCATATAGTAGATAGAACAGTTTACAAACTGGAAAGATTTTGGCAAACAGCTAAAGAACACTTACTTCTGTTCCAATTCCAGGTTGCACTCCAGAGTACACATTGTCTGGTGGAGGACCACCATATTTCCTCTGTCCTGTGGTTACATCCAGAGTATAACCAGTCCTCTCAAGCAAGGCCTAGAGATAATTATACATCTGTTTACACTTGAATATTAAATCACACACACAAATCAGTATATTAATTTTTTCCAAAAGGCACCCCAACACCTTAGAATAGGTATTTTACAGTTAGGTTAAAACAAAAAAGTCAAAATTTACACTGGTTCCTCTCCTACACATGTTGATCCCACTTAATTTTACTGCTCCTTTTTACACATCTAATGGAAAAAGTTGTAGGCAAGCTGTCTCTAAACACATATCACTGGGCCGGCCCGTGGCTCACTCGGTAGAGTGCGGTGCTGATAACACCAAGGCCACGGGTTCGGATCCCACATAGGGATGGCCAGTTTGCTCACTGGCTGAGTGTGGTGCTGACAACACCAAGCCAAGGGTTGAGATCCCCTTACCGGTCATCTTTTAGAAAAATAAATAAATAAATAAACATATATCACTCACTTTTCTGTTAAAATTGGAAGCATTTAAAAAAGATCAAAGATTGTTAAAAATTCTACATAAACTGACCCTTTATTACCTATTTATTCATACTTATGTACAAGAGTAGTCCTCATCTTTCACCCTCTGTACTTCAATTAGACCACTTTCCTCACCCGTCCCCTTTACATACATATTTGTTTCCACCAGTGATTCTTATCAAATAAAATGTTCTCCATCCTTAAAAACTCAGAAGTGGAACTTCTGAAGCTCCTTCATGCAGCTTCTCTCATTTATTATTATTCACATCCATCTCTTCCTACCCTGATATTCTATTGCACTCAAAGTTTCACAATTTAACCTTTATTTTATTTGATCCTTTTGTTTGGTACTCCTGCTATCAAGAACCAGACCATTTCTCACATAAGATAAACTAAAAATATTTGCCAATTACCAAATGAGTATACTCAGGTTTCAAAAAAATAAATAAAACCTTACATTTCCTGATTACCAACCTTCCTCACAACATTTTATTAGGGATTAAGGAGAATCATAGAAAAGAAGATAATGTCCTTGCCCTCATGGAGCTTGTGTTATAATTGAGGCAACATTTATATGAATGGCCTAAAGAACAAAGGTACAATGGCAAACAAAGAAATGCAATCTATCTAGAAAGGGGAGAATTTCACCCTTCAGGTTTTTTTTTTTTTCCTTTTTGTCTTTTTTCGTGTCCGGCAACGGATCGCAACCCTCAGTGTCGCACCCGTACCGGACCGGGACCGGCAACGGGATCGCAACCCTCGGTGCTGCGCCCGCACCTCGCTCAGCCAGTGAGCGGGAACCGGTCTGTATGTGGGATCCGAACCCTCGGCGGGAGCACCACCGTACTTCCAAGCGGCGCACTGTAGCAGTGCGCCACCGGGCCGGCCCCAACCCTTCAGGTTTTTAAAATTACACAATGTTACAGCAATAAGAGATTTTAGACATCAAGTTCAACAAAACCTGGGATTCCACAGGGATGCATGCCTTGGGCCTTCCATTTTTCTACCTTTGACTTAAACAGAGCTCTCTACTTTTAAACATAGAAACATGTATAAAATATATACATAATACGATATTACATATTTACATATTAATTGTATAATACATAATATACAATACTATATATATATTACCAAGAGCAAATAGCCAGCTTGAAGGAAATAATACAGACCTATTCAAAGATTTTTTTAAAAAACAGACTTTTACCTCAAATAGAATTCTCACATATTTAATTATTTAAAAATCTTATAAGAATAAGATTATGCCAATTTACAGATAAGGAAAAAATGGTGTAAAGGCACTCAATATAAGTTAGTTATAAGTCTAAAATATAAACCACGTACACTGACAACTTCAACATGAAACAACTATTTCAAATAAAAAAGTCTACCACTGCAGCAAGACATCAATATCCATTTGACTAAGGTAGGTTCACTGGTCTTTCCTTAAAAGCCTTATATTTACTTTTCAGAGCAATTTACCTAAATAACAATAACAGTAATAATGGTTCATAGTTATATAGTTCTTGCTATATTCCAGGCATTATTCTAAGTGCTCTACCCATGTTAAATTTAATCCTCACAAAAATTCTGTGAGGTATTCAATAGTGTGGGTATCACTATTCCCATTTTACAAATAAAAAAACTTAGGTAAATGAAAATTCAAAAGAAGGAAAGCAGTTATAACACCTCTTTACCAAAAGAAATGAAACCAAGTGCTTGGAAAGAAATTGAACCAAGAAACACTACTGGATCAATCCAAGAAAACTATTATCAGAAGCAATGATAAACACATGTCATTCATGGCCAGAAGAACAAGGACTGAGGGAAGAGTATGAATTAGGGCTTTACATCAAACATACAACTGAATGTTGGTGGCCCCCAAAATTCTTCTTGTAATGCAATTTCCCCTAAATGATTTCATTTTTAAACACTAATTTAAAAAAAAGGAACTATAAAAACTGTTACTAGAAAACACGGAAAGAACATTTCATCTCACCATTAAATTTAATTTCATTACAACTGCCCAAGTCAAGTGTTACCTTGATTTTTGCTTCATCAGGTCCCTTTGTGGACTCTTGCACCTTGCTCCCCTGTTTCTCTCTTTGCCTGTAGGTCTTCATAACTCCACATAAAAATGCACTTTTGTTCTAGAACAAACAAGTAATTCAATAAAAAGAATCACCAGGAATCTCTGAAGGGTCAAATCAAATACATAATTAAACTTAGGGCTGGCCAGTTAGCTCAGGCGGTTAGAACACACAGCCTTGAGGGCCGGCCCGGTGGCGCACTGCTACAGTGCGCCGCTTGAGAGTGCGGCGGCGCTCCCGCCGAGGGTTCAGATCCCACATACAGACAGGTTCCCGCTCACTGGCTGAGCGAGGTGTGGGTGCAATACTGAGGGTTGCGATCCCATTGCCGGTCCCGGTCCGGTACGGGCGCGACACTGAGGGTTGCGATCTGTTGCCGGACACAAAAAAAGACAAAAAAAGGAAAAAAAAAAAAGAACACACAGCCTTGAACACCAAGGTCATGGGTTCAGATCCCTGTACCAGCCAGCCGCAAAAAAAAAGAAAAAATAAATAAAATTAAATTTCATAAGACCAGAATTTTAACAAAATATTTACCCATTCATTCATTCAACGAATATTTGCTGAGTGATTATCATGTACCAGAGACTGGAACAGACAGCAGGAAGACAGGGAGCTTACCTTCTTCCCTGGGAAAACAGTCTTCCATTTGTTGATATTTACCTGCACCTGGACTATCTTTGCTAGAAGTCTGAAACTATTCCTACCACCTACATTTCCCTCCAAGATAACAGAAGAGGATCAGATAACCCGAAAATGTTTTTAAAAATCTGAACAATTTAAACATATAGAAACCTAATAATAATCATCATCAAAATTTTAAGTTTTTAAAATAACTTACTGCACAAAGGGGTAGAGGGGAGACCTGCTGTATACTTGTCCTTCTGAAACCTTGCCACAAGCAAACCTTTGTTACTTTAAACTAATTTTTTAAAGCAGAGGTAATCACAAACAAAAAACAGTTCTACGCAGGAAAAAAAAAAAAAAGCAATAGTAGAATAATGTTAGATCATTTATTTAATCCTTCGAAGATATTTCTGAGTAATGACCTTACCTGAACATGTGATAAGTCACTTTCCTTGAACTGCTGAAGTACAGACAGAGCTCCTTCTTCATTAAATTCCCTGAGAGCATCAATTGCTCTTTCATCAAGATCGACATAAGCTACCAATCCTAAAAATTAAATTGAAAAGGAGAAACATTATTGCAACAAAAGAGGTAAACTGTTCTACTGATGTTTAATCAAGAATTGTTACATTCAATGCTATTGTTAACAAACTACATTTTTATTTAACTATATATTAAGTAAATACACAGCTATACAAATACTATATAGAAAGATCGAGTACAAATTTGAAAATAAAAATGTTAACATCTATAAACATGAATTTTAATCTCCATTTCCAAAAAAAGCAAACATCCTAACATCCATTTCCCACTCCCCAAAAGGTGGAAGTCTTGGAAGTTAAATCTGATGTACACACTGTACTACAGATTAAACATCAATATAACAAATTCTGGTTTATGTTAGAGCAGTAAGAATACACTGTATCTCCCAAGGTTAAACCTTCAAATTATGGACTGTTACAGTTGTTGCTAACCACATAAGAGGTGGGGGAAAATATGAGAACCAACTTTACCAAATAATTCTTTCCACTCTCCAAAAAGTGTTAAAGGCTTTCCCTCCTTAGCACCACAGATAAACTAAAATGCATTTGTTTATCTGAGCATCTACTTTGCTGCAGTCAGAATGTGGAAAGGCATAATTTTAATTTCTACAAATGCACGTGCAGCTTGATTAATCAATTCTGAAAGTCTTATTTTAAAGCATTCTTTGTTCTTCTGAGGTGACAAGCTGAGATTTAAAAGATGTCATGGCATTCACAACACTATCAATAATGACAGTCTTTCCCAAATAGCAATAAAGACTTTACGGACTCACAAGTAAACTATACAGAAAAATATATGCACTGCATTCTATATATGTACTATATTTAACTGCACACAGAACATCTGTTAAGTTTAAAATACAATGTCTTAAGCCAGTCAAGTTTGTGTTACATTTCTCTCTCTCTCTCTATATATATAAGGAATATAATTCAGAATTGATCCAAAGTAAAATGGAAATAATTGGCAGATTAAAACCCGCAAGGCCACATGAACTAACATCAAAAGTGACTCTAGTTTGGTAAAGCCAAAAATAACTTTATTCCATACTGTAAATAAATTTTAAATAAATGTAATGCCACTTGCAAAGTTTTTAAGATGTTGCCATGATTGGTTTTAAAAGCTCAAAATGAGCATGCCTAAATAATTGGATTTCCTTACTTAATATTCCATACTACCACCCAAAGCCACAACTCAGGACACCACCCATCAATGCATTATGTCAATCCAAGCCGACATCTAAACCATCAGCCTCTTATCAATAACAAAACACTCTACAAGAGAGCATCTCTAAGCAGATCACTGCCAATTTTCTATGGCAGAATGACACAGAAAGTTCCTGAGGACTGATTTTCAAATGGGACCATCACCCAGGAGTTATTTTTATAAGTCATTTTAGTATCTAAAATTATTCTGAGCTTCCCAGATTTAAAAAAATTTTAAGGACAAAAAACAAAACAAAAACACACAAAAAAAACACAGCTATTTGTTACTACCGTACTTAAGACACATTTGTAAGTGAGATAATCCTCTCTCTCTCAGAATCTGAATAAGCACACAAAACACTGAGGAAGAAAGTTTCCATCTATGGCCCCAAAGGAGGACATATTTATTTATGAACAACATTCCCTAAGGGTCAGTATTTCTCTCCCTCTTGAAAACTTCAAACCACTTACAACCAACCATATTAAAATGTTCAAATTTGCTTAAGCACTTGATCATGGGATTTCTGGATTGGGAAAAAAAAAAAAAAAAAAAAAAAACAGCTGTTACAAACCAAAAACTTCCAAATTACCCAGAGGATTCCTTGAGAGTTTGTGGCCTGTCTAGTTTCTAATAGACAGAAATCCACACCTTTGGGTAATTTGGAAGTTTTTGGTTTGGAAAAAAAAAAAAAAAAAAAAAAACAGCTGTTACAAACCAAAAACTTCCAAATTACCCAGAGGTGTGGATTTCTGTCTATTAGAAACTAGACAGGCCACAAACTCTCAAGGAATCTGACATTTATTATTGTTTCAGACGATACAGTCTAACTTTTCCTATTATGCCACCTAGTCAGACCTAAGCTAATTTAACAATCACTTTAAGAAGCTAACAGTAGAAAAGTAAAAGCAAAATGATGACTAATTCAGATTAAGAAAAATGCAAAATTTGGTGTGCTGAAACATTTTAATTAGTGGTAAATCTAAGATAAATTGATGTACTATTCTGAAACAACTAAGACTGCATATTCAACACTAAGAAGGCTTCAAAATAATGAAATAAGAATATCAAAGTCAAACCCAATATGCCCTCAATGAAGGGAAAGTAAACATTCAGCTCTACACAGATCAGAAACAGTAAGTATTATTAAACCTTAAAAAGCTATAAAATTCAACGTGGTTTGCCCTCACTTTCATAACCAGTCAGAAACAAGAAATGCATATTATACCTGTCTGAAATATTTCATCAAGTCTTTCTGCCACCTTCTGTGGGAGGCCTGCCTCTATCAGTGTCTTGTAGTGTTCTGTGTGAGTTACACTGGAAGTATCCATTGGTTCTTCCTCTTCTTTTAACTGTACCGCATTACCATTCACCTGATTAGCCATTTTATTATGCTGCTGGAAAAAATTCAGGAGCTATATTACATTAAGCCAGAAATAACTAGTTTGTAGGACAATGCATGATTTATCTAAACTAATTTGTATACATGCTGCTAATAACCTCTATCAGAATAGTATTTTATGCCTTTTGTGATGCATCTGACCTAAATTTGCAATAATAATCCTGTAAAACCACAAAAAATGTACATGAAGCATTAGCTCTTTAAGGAACTCCACGTACACTAGGGTAAATAAAGGCTTTAATTTACTAAAGGCAGAATTGCTGATTAACAAAAGCAGCTGTTGTGTCCTGGTGAGCAGATCAACAAATCACCACAAAATCCTAAAAGCCTCTCAGCTCTCAATTCTTTTACAGTTTTAAAGTTTGGTATAAAAACAGAATGAACACCCACAGACCACTTAACCAAGTTTTAAGTACTTTCGCATTTTCCTAGCTCTGCTTCAAATATAATATAGCTGTGAAATAAATGCCCTGTTGTCCTAGTTCAACACGCTGGTGGTTTGGGTTTTTCTCCATCTCACTTAAAATACAAAAATACAACTTGACATTATTTTTTGTTCTAGAATTAATTTGCTGTTCCCATTCACAGATTTAAAAGAAAAAATGACCAAGTTTAAAAGCTAAATGATTGTTTTAAATCCACATAAGTGAGCTATAGTTGAAGTCGCTCTAGTTCAACACGCTGGTGGTTTGGGTTTTTCTCCATCTCACTTAAAATACAAAAATACAACTTGACATTATTTTTTGTTCTAGAATTAATTTGCTGTTCCCATTCACAGATTTAAAAGAAAAAATGACCAAGTTTAAAAGCTAAATGATTGTTTTAAATCCACATAAGTGAGCTATAGTTCAAGTCGCTTTAAAAAAAAAAATCATGAGTACATGTTGAATTTTTCTTGTCAGTAAAATAAAGATGCAAAAACATTGAAGAATGGACAACTAACTTCTTCCAAATAATTTCAACAAACATTACCTAATTTGGACAAACTTCGGTCAGATTTCTCAGATTAACCTACCAAAAGTCATTTTGTATGTTCAGCCTGTATGTAATGCTGAAATGGACCAATTCCCTGAAGAGAGAAAGAATAAATAATAAAACCATACAAGGCCAGTCTCTATACTGCCTCAAAAGCCAGGGAATTAACGTGCATTCGTCTGTGGTGAAATTATAATGTGATAAAGATAATAAATAGGCAGAATAAAGACACTGCAACACATACTGAAATAAAAGACATGAAGGTGGATCTCAAGAAAAAGCCTACTTTTCTTGATGAAACTCAAGATCCCTAATCAGCTATAAGGAAAATACAAGTCTCCTAAAAGCACTAAGACAACCACACTTCCAGATTGCTTATCAAACACTGTGCAAATGCACCAGGTGCAGTTTTCTGGCTTAAACCAACTTCTTTTCATTTCAAAGTCCACTGACATTTAGTTGAAATTAATGTAAGAGAGGAAGACCAAGAGGGGAAGGTGGTAATAAAGAGTAAGAAGAAAGAAAAATGCAGAAAGGGTTACTCTGAAAATGAGATAAACCATATCATGACTTCTCACGATTACAAAACATTATTAAGACTTGATAGCCCTCTCATGTCTATGTAGACGCAGACTGTGGTTAAATTAAACTGAGTGGATAAATGTTTCTCAAGGCAAGCCTTAAATTTTGATGAACCAGCAAAAACGGAAACATCCGAAACTGGCAACCTTTTGATCAAGAAACTACACCGTGTTGAGATGAACACGCTTACTGATTAATACAACCTATTTCTATCAAGATGCATCATAAAATCCAAAATCTCTTTGGAAACTGGCAACCTTTTGATCAAGAAACTACACCGTGTTGAGATGAATACGCTTACTGATTAATACAACCTATTTCTATCAAGATGCATCATAAAATCCAAAATCTCTTTGTGAACATATATGGTTCTGTGTTCCCATGCTCCCCCACCGCTAAATACTTAACCGTAAGATCGTCAGAACTCAAAAGTTCTCAGTGCCACAAGACCCTTACGGCATTGCTCCTGGGAATACTATTAGTCACAGAAAAGAGGCAAATTTTTAACAGAAAAGTTCAATGAACATCTGTTAAGGTGGGTTTTATTTTTAAGTATGTGTAAAGTAAAAAGACAAGTTGTGTATTAAGCACAAGACGAAATATTTGACTACCATTTCATTGCAAAGGCTCTACAAGTTGATATTGAAATTGGTTAAAATTTTCAAAGTTTGTAAACTTTAACAAAAAACGTAAAATAATTGGATTCCAGAAAAATAAAACCTTCAGATCAAGGAAAAACCTCTCTTCAAGATTAATACAAAATGCCCATTTAAAAAAGGCTTTTATGTCATACGGGACCATTTAAAACTCATGTCAATTCAACACAATGCCACACAGCCAAACCATATTTCTGGATGCAGCAAATATACTAATATGACTGGAGTCATTTGATCCAAACATTTTTGCAAAAAGTAGAAATTTAAGTAAGATTTAAAAGGGCTGCTGGGAGATTTGGGAAGTCAACACTAGCTCCTCCCTGACTTTTTCTGAACATGTTCGTGCAAATTCTTCATATTAAGAGACGGGCTTTTAAAAGAACCAACAAAATGAAAACTAACGTTTATCTCATGGCTTAAGAGTGTCAAGCCCTTATCCTACGACTGACTCATGAGATAAATTCAAGCCTCTTGAGGACAGCAAAAATCTCAAATAGGTAGTGTGAAAGGACTGAACCTTTCAAGAACCCCTCGGCTTTAATTTTTAAATTTTGGCAATACGGTTACTACCGTACAGGAAAAAAAACAGCCTTTTCCAATTTAGTGCGCCTATGACATTTTCAGAATTATGTGTCTCAGGCGCTGCTTGAAGCCTAAGTCTCACGGCCTCTAGTAGTCATTTTTTCCTTCAAATCTCGGCTCGCAGCATGCAGAATGGAGGAGGGGAGGGAGGCGTCCCACACAAATCGGCCCTTAGGCTTCTGCTCACACCAAAGTTTTCTCCCGGCTTAGGTAACCCTGGGATTTGCACTCCGCCTTCTGCCCACCCCACTCCCTCAGGCCCGTGCCGATTATCAACACATCCTACTCGTGGCGAGGCCGGCCGAGACGGGAGAGAAGTGGCTCCGGCAGGGAGAAGCGATGGGGCCGCGGGCGCCTCAGGCCCTCCGCCGGGCCGGGCCGCGTGGAGCGGCGGGCGGAGGCGGGAAAAGCACAGCCGGCCCTGGCAAGGCCGCGTGGAAGGTGCCCGGCGGGCCAGACCATGGGACGGGGGTTGGAGGAGCAGAGGAGGATGAGCAAGGGCGGAGAGGAACCTCAGCGGGTCGAGGTCCGCAGCTGCGCGGCCGGACGAGGCAGAAGCTGCCCCCAGCCCATCCCCACCCCCACCCCGGGACCATGGAGCGAAAACGAAACTAGGGGCAAGGCGCCGAGCCGAGTCGGGTCGGATCGGGGCTCCTGGCCTCTCCCCCTACGGGCCGGCGCGAGACTCACCAGGGCAGAGCAGGGGCTGGCGACCGAGCCCGTGAGAATCAGCGCGAGGCGCTTTGAAAACGACTAGAAATGGCGCGCGCGCCACCCCCTCCCCCCCCTCACGGACAGAGATGCGATCCCGGCAGCACGCGGGGTTTCCCGGAACTGCTTCCAGGGACTCTGAGCTGCCGGGCAATCACTTCGCGAGGCAGCCTGACAGGCAGCTCAGGCGACCAATAGTAGCGAGGTGAAGCGTACCACGCCGGACGACTCGAGAGCCAATCGATGAAGCCGTCGGCTGAGCCAATGAGGGTACTCAGCGCCGGTGGCTGGGGCGCCTCCGGGGCGGGGGCAGGCACACAAAGGGGTCTGTGGTGGAAACCCCAGGTATCCGCGAGGCTACGGGGCACCAGGCCTTGGGTGGCCGAGGCTCCTCCCTCCTCGTCTGCCGCCCGTGCGAGGCCGATTATATGGGCCTGCCGCCGCGTGGCCGCCTCCGGAGCCCCGCCCCCTGCGTCCGCGCCTGCCCCGCTCTGCCCTGGCGCTCCAGTCCGGTGGCCGGTGCCGCCGTGCCCCCCAATCCTCCCTTGCGCGTCCGCGGCCAGCGTTCGCCCCAGACACGCCCATCGCCACGCGTCCGGGACTCTCTAGGTCATTTTTTTGGCTGTAGATACATCACGGTTTAAAGATGCTTCGGCTCGTCGTTTTGCTGGAGACTTTTGTAAGAAGATCTTCCCTTGGAACGATCGGAAAACTGTCTCCTTCCCTCCCTGGCTCCTTTCTTCCATACATCGTTGGTTTCAGCTCAGACTGGGAGGGAAATTGCTGAAGTGGACATGACTAAACAGCAATGTGTAACACAAGTAACAGAATAGGGACCTTTCCCCCCCACAGGGTTTGGAGCTAATTGGTTTTCGCAAAGTAGCAGGGCAGACATATCCAACTATAAAGCCAAAAGGGTCAGTTAATTCCCAAAGGAGACTAATTTTTGTGATTCCTAAATCTGTTTCTCACCTTTCACTCTTACTGATTTCTTCCTTGTCCTTAACTTAATCCAAACCTATCTCATCCCGCAGAAACCCTCCAAACTCACTTTCTGTAGAGCCAGCCCTTCTTTCCCAGCCCCAACCTCACCCTTAGGGAGTGGAGAAGGTCAAGCAGTGGTCTGCAGGATTTCCTGAGGCACTGGAGGATCATTAAATTTCTCAGAATCTATAAACCAAAACTTAATTATTGAGAGCTTACTATGTGCTCAGTACCGAGCTAAACCGGTGGTTCTAAGTTTTATGGATGGGGTGTGAAACTTAACAGAAATGCTGGGATCCTTAAGAAAAATAAAATGACAAAAACAAACTTAGGAAGAGTTTTGGAAGGGTATTATGGAAATGAAGGACCCTGGGCTGGCTGGTTAGCTCAATTGGTGGTTAGAGAGTGGTGCTGGTAACACCAAGGTCCAGGATTCCATCCATGTACGGGCCTGCCACCACAAAAAAGATTTTTTTTTTTTTTTAAAGGGAAGGACCCTGAAGCTTAAACGTTATCACCTTTACATAAATCTGCCTCTAGCCCCAGGGTTCTTATCCTATTTTGTGGTTCAGATCCCCTAAGTGGCCAGCCGCCAACAACAACAAAAAAAGTGAAGGCAAACAGGTGAAATTAACCTTTCCTGCCATTTGGAAGTCTGGTAAAAGCTATCTGGGTTTTTAAATACAAAAAATACATAGCATTACCAAAAAAAAAAAAAACAAATCAAACAAACTTTATATCGAAATACAATTAGTAAATATGTTTAAAAAACAAATTGGTGATATAGTAATCTTTTTCTTTATTAACACCTTAAATATCAAGGTCCTGCAGCAGTTCTAATAACTACTGAAATTTTAAGGTGATGAGAAGATGTTTCAAGAAATCCATGACAACTATAATGTGATATAAAAATGTTTGATTTCTATTGGTGAGAGAGTGAAAGGTATCACTAATTCTACTGTGGTTTGTTGCCTACATTCACAAAGAAAAATAAATGCTAAATTTCAGTTGAACATTGGTGAAAACAAAGATGTTATTTTTTTCACAACCAAGTTGAAGGATCCCTGAATTCCATTTAGAGACTCCCTTCAAGTCCATTGGCCACAGAATAAGAACTCCTAGGCTAGATACTGTAATTTTAAAAGATTCTATAACCCAATATTTTCTGGGCTATTTCAAGCACTCTACCACACAGTCCTCATAGGTATACTCCACCTTCTCAGACCATGTATCTTGACTTTTTTATTTAGAAAGTATGGTCATCAAAAAAATTATATGCCAGCCAGCCGCTAAAAAAAAATATATATATATATATATAGGTATTCATGAATTCACTATTCCAAAAATATTCATTGCATGCCCTCTATATACAAATCATTGTGTTAAGAGTAGAAAGTATAGGCGTTGGCTGGTTGCTCAATTGGTAGCATGTTTTGGTACAG